ATATATTCATTTGGTTTGGGGGCAATAGACTTTTTCCAATTGAATTGCTTTCCCAAATACCCAAACGAAATATCAAAATAGCGAAATTATCAAAATAGTTTTTTTTGACGAATAATAATCCAAATAGTCGATAACATATCAAATATATATCATAAAGTATCAAAAAGAAAATACAAAAAGCAAAGAATACATAACCTAATAAAAACTATTGAAATATACTAACCTACTTAAAATAGAATCGATAACGGCGAAAACCGAAACGTTTCGGTTCCCAAATCTCCTCTTTTACAAATTACAACCACTATAAGCCTCAAAAAGAACGGGGATGAATATCCTTTAATTTCATGAGCATTCAAAGAGGTTGAAAAAAATTTCAATGTCTATAAAATCTTTAAATCTTGTTTTTTTAATGTTTTTCTCACTCTAAACTTCACTAAAAACGTTTTTGGGGGCAAGAATGGCCCCCAAAACCTTTTTTCCCCCCTTTTTAGGGGGAAATGATGAATTTACCCAATGGCCCAAGGGCAGTTTCCGCCCTCAGTCTCGATAGGTCGAGGCAGGGCCTAGGCGCATGCCATTTATGCCGCCTAGGCGGGTGCCTTGAACGCTTAGGCGGGTGCCTAGAACGCATAAGCGAGTGCCTTGAATGCTTAGGCGGGTACCTATAACACTTAGGCGGGTGCCTTAAACGCTTAGCGGGCGCCTAGATGCACCCACCTACAGCATACCACCTAGTCCACGCTTAGGCGATTTGGAAAAATGGCCACCTAAGGGGCAAGGCGTCCAAATTTTCATTCATTGATCAACAATAATAGAGAAGGAACAACAATAATAGAGAAGGAACATGGCTGTAAATCAAGCCAAGAGAAGAACTTTCTTCTTTCATAAAATAAAAATTAATTCCCATAACATATATCTCCCAAAATGTGACATCCAACCTTTCATAAGCCTATGAAACCCTAATTAACTTGAAACTCTAAAATACCCCTAAACAAAACTAAAATTCCAAAAATTCCTTATGAACAGTAATGCGTGAACAATACCTATGAACAATGCCCATGAATTCTACCATGAATAGTACTCGTGGTTAGTAAATAAATAAAATATAAAAAACCCTAAAATCCCAAAAAACCTTAAAAACTTTAAAAATAAATCCTAAAGCTAAAATCAAAATATACATCCTTTAAAATTGAATAAAAATAAAAAATAACAATAATTGTCCCTCCATCATTCTCTCCTAGTTTGAGAAAACGCGTCCTCGAGTTTTGAAGTGTGCTAAGATGAATTTAGCGTCAAAACCACCTTATTCAACCTTCTTCTTCTTTGTCGGCTTAAATATTAATCGCAATAAAAATAACTCTTCTAGAAATGGATCCTAATATGTATATTGAAGAATCGATGAAAATTTATCAAATTCGGTTATTCTTGAGCTCCTATTGAAAATCGTGTAGGAAACTTCAAACCCAATTTTCTGTACTTTAGAGGATTTCTCGACATCTATCTCATTACTCTCTAAAATCAAAGCCACAATTTACAGATTTTGAGTCAACCACGCTTCCATTGCACTACTCTGATTCCAATGCCCTAAATCTCCTAAATGCTCCCCCTCTTCAATATCTTTAAGATCTTCATCTTTTTCTCTATCAAAAATCGGTTTGACAATGAAATCTTGAACATTATCATAGATTGGATCTCTTACAAGATCTTGTTAATAATCTAAGTACTTATCAAAAATTTGTGGCAGATCCCAATCTATAGCATGAGGCGCGCAATGCGAAGCGTGTGCATAGAACGGGTGGTTGAAGGCAGCTTCATCATTTTGCTCCAACTATGAGCCGGACTCTGATTTGCACCATTCTCCATAAAAACCCTCTTTATTTGGATTTATCCCCATAAATTCCTCTTCGTTTAGGGCATGGTATTGCTGGCGCTACTTGCACAGCAATAGCTCTGTAACTCTCTCCGTCAAGTTGTTGATTTCCTTGTGCAGTTGGATTAGATCGGTATCCCTACGGTTAAGACCACCACAACAAGTCATCACAATCTCCAGCAATCCTCGAATCATGCTCTGATACCACTTAGTGTAAAAAGAAAATGTGGGAAATGGTATCCACCTTTTTTCTGAACCTTGAACAAGTAAAATCAGCAATAATAGAGAAAGAACGTGGCTGTAAATCGAGCCAAAAAGAACTTTCTTCATTTATAAAATAAAATTCATTCACATAATATATATCTCCCAAAATATAGCATCCAACCTTTTATAAGCCTATGGAACCCTAATTAACTTGAAACCCAAGCAAACAATTAAGACCCCATTTCAAAAAACAATTAAAACTCTAAAATACCCTTAACGATACTAAAATTCCAAAAACACTCATGTGAACAGTAATGCTTGAACAGTACCCCATTAGCCATGAATAGCACTTGTGAATGCTAAATAAAGAAAATATAAAAAACCCTAGAATGCCAAAAAAAACTTAAAAACTCTAAAAAGAATACGCTAAAATCAAAATATACATTCTTTAAAATTGAATAAAAATAAATATTAACAATAATTTTACCTTCCATCAGGAATGGGGTCACGTCACTCTTCCCTTTGCTTCCTCTCCATCCATCTCTATCTATACTACAACTCGTTCTTCTTTCTTAAGTATTCAAGGTGATAGTTTAACAATCCATGTGTATAACAAGTGTCACACTCGGTGTTGTAAGCCAAGAAGAACGTATTTTAGATAATGACTTTCTTCGAATTGCACAATAAATGCTTAAAACTATGTTTTCTAACATAAATAAATACATAACACGGCTTGTAGTAAACCAAAATTAGTATATGCTTACAGGTATGACATGGCTCGTTGTGAATCCTGAACACACAACTAGACCGTCATTGTCACAAATTCCAAGTTTCTGATTGTGCTTGTAGCTAAATGCAGCATCCACACCATAAGCTGAAATCCGGATGTATTAATAATTGTGTCAAGAAAGTTCAAAGAAAGAATATAAGGATAAACTCAGCTTAATGGAAAAAGAGAAAGCATAATAAATTAAAACAAAAAACAATTAAACGGCAACTAGTGTTGGAGCCAGTACTTAAAAACCTCGCTTGGGTAACCAAACCATACACCTGCCGGGTCCAAGTCAGCCCTGACGACTCACTAAGTCAGCACGGGCAACTTAGGGATTTTTTATTTTTAAGTAAAAAATAGAGGACAAATGCAAAAAGTAAGGAAAGAAATATATAAACATGAACTATAAAAAAAATTATTTCAAATTTCAGTCATTTCATCTAATATAACCTTTCAAGCAAAATCAAAATAAAAAAATTAAAATTAAAAAACATTTGGAAAGAAAATCATGTGAAAAATAGTGAAAAAAAAACCCCAGAATCAATATCAGATATTTTTGTTTTGATTCAAAAAATTTTGCTAGAGCTTTTGTAGATTTGTATCTTAGGAACATTTCGGGACAAATTTGAACAAATTTGTTGAAACACGGAATGAGAAATTGATAATTTTTTATTTCAAGAAATAACCAAAAATTTGAACTATAGTTCTCTTCAAACAAGGGCTTAGATCCAACAAATTAAGATAGGGATCTTCCAAAGAGCTCCCATACCAACATTTTGGATCAAATTTACGACGATTTGATTGACGAATGAGAGAGAGATCACAAGAAAGACCAATTAGGCTCTAGGGATCAAAAATAGTGAGTGTTTCCTTCTTGAAAAAAACTTCTCCAAAATGCGATTTTTATCAAAATATGATTTTTTTTGGGGCTAAGACAGATCAATTTGGGTCCAAATTGGTCATAATGGATGTTGGATGAACTATTGGTTCAACAAAAACAAAGAAAAAAAAGAAAAAAAAACATTATACCTGTTTTTCCACCTGAAAATGAAAAAAATAAAAAAAGGGTACCCTGGCTGACTCGTCTGGGTCCAGGCGAGACCTGGCATGCATGTACTCTGGGTCCGAGCCAACTTAGTGAGCCCCAAGTCGTCTGGGCGGGTTTTGAGACCCTGGTTTGAGCCCATTGGAAGAGATAACAATATCTTATGGACAAGGTAAGTACTCATAGAATTACAAAATTCAGATTCAATCACATACCTACTGAAGGGATCCCATAAGTTTCAAAAAGAAGTTCTGCCATTTTGCTTCGAGAGTGAACTGGGTTGCAGACACACTCCGTTATGAGGATAGGATGATCCACCTGTTCTGTCCTCAATTTCAACACAAAAAGAAAAACATAAACTAAATAAATGTTTCAAGATAACATTGTGGACTTTAATACGCATTATTCCACATTGTTAAAAAGGTTCAATGGCAAGATTTATATCAACTCTGCATCAATTCATTATTTAAATTACAGCAATAATATCGTTTTTTTGTCATCTGATTGCAAGAAGAGAACTTTGTTACATTACCTTTGGTCCTTCCACACCAATCCTCTCAAAAGCATAATCAAGGATCTGCAGCAAATATTTGAGCAGCTGTGAGCCCATATAATGAATCAAATTGAAGAAACTTTCGATATTATTTAGAATGTAGTCATCAAACAAGATTGAGATTTGATTGCATTACATAATTGTGCATCTATTTATGCAAGCATTAGTCCTGCAAGAACAATCTCCAACTTCTCGGACACTTTTACAAGTAACAAAAAACAAATTCTATACAATATTCATGCTGATATGCTTTGAGGTCAATAATTTGAAAAACCACTGATGCTCCGCTATCAGAGCAAATGGAATATATACTAAGCTAACAATAGCAGTTTCATTTCTAAGTTCTGTTCTCCAAATTCATAATTCCAGACGCCTTTCCAGAAACAATATTCATGTACTGTGATTGATGACCAAATGTTAACAACTAGATCTTGGAGGAACTGCTAAGAAAAGTGACAATACGACACAAAAATGCTTCATCAAGCTAAAGGTTTGCCAATCAAGATCTAACACAAAAAAGTGATGCATCTTGGTAATTATTAAATGGAACCATTTTGATTCCATCAATTACACAAGAAAATTACTCAAAACAAGAAGAAGATTTTCACTGCTTTATTTGAACCATATCCAGCAGCATCACCAAATAATGTGTTTTGACAACTTTTAGTACATCAGTTTCGTCAAGCTCACATGGTAGAGCTGTGGCCCTTTATTTTAACTAATTTCAAATGCCATTTTTATTTTATTTTTGAATGTTAACCGTTAGTAGCGAGTTAGCAATTTTTGAAACAGTTGGTAGTTTTCAAAAGGAGTTAGCACTGGTAGAAATGGAAACTGAGACCGGTAGCTGAGACACAAGAGGTGCTGCCACCTTGACCTCTTACTACTTTAAATGGCATTGATTATACAGAAATACAAGATTGCATGTAGTGGCCCTTGGACATGTAAAATTGCCCAAAATGGCACCTCAACCAATAGTACATGAAAAGGCTGCACCAAATAATCCTAAAAAATTGCACAAAAAATAATAGACACTAGTTTACAAATCTCTTAGCTCGTCTCTATGTATTATGAATCGATAGGATGCCCTCCCTCCCAAATCTCTTAGCTCTTCTCCATGTATCAGGAACTAATAGGATGTCCTCCCTCCTCCCTTCCTGCCAGAGTTGTAGCTTTTTCATTCCTTTCTTTTTTTTTGGTTACTGTATTGATAATAGGGAGATACAAAATTGCGTGTAGTGGCCCTTGGACATGTACAAAATTGCCCAAAGTGGCACTTCAACAAACAATGTAGAAAATGGATGCACAAAATAATTTGAGAAATTGCACAAAAAATTATAGACACACCAGTTTATGAATTTCTAATCTCTTGTTCAGGTATCGGAGCATATTTGATAGAATGCCCTCTCCAAATCCCATCTAATGATGTTGATATGTATTCAGATAGAACCCCATATTGATCTTACTCTAGAGAAGGAGCCTCATGCAACTTTATTCATATGCTTTGTATATACATGTATTTATTTTTAAATGCTCTTTAAACCATAAAATGTTAGTATCATGGTCACATTTTGAGGGCAAGGTTATAGTCATCATAAGTTCCATTGTAAAATCAGAACGGAGAGCATAATATTGCTCTTTTCTCCCTTTTCCTCTTGCTCCTCGTTAATCATCACAACTAAGGTATGCCTGATCAGAGCAAGGAGTGAATTACCTCTCCACAACCTTGGAGGATTTGAACTGAAGCAAGGGCAAACAACCTCATGCATCTTTTCTTTTGAGCAGGATAGCTTGGTTTGCAAGCGGAACAAGCTTAAAGTTTCAACCCTTGACTGACCTCATACAAATGAGGCGTCACAAAATTTGATTAGGGAAATGTTTTCATGGGTTTATCCATGAAACCCAAATGTATCAAAGAATGTATAAATATCAGGATCGTATATACGATAGGATAAAAACAGAAAAAATCTCTCATCAGAGAGAGAGAGAGAGAGAGAGAGAGACAAATTGGAATCGTAATAAGTATCCATTCACACAGTATACCGTGATTATGGGGGAAGAAACTGCAAAAAAACACAGATCAAAAGAAATTATGAAAATATGAACCAACACAGTTACTGGTTCACAAATATTGTTATCAGAACATCTATATAGTGAGAAGTGGAATTTTGAAAGATGAATAGCCTGAACAAAAAACACAGCATATTCAAAGCTACATTTCAATTTTAAAGCAATGTTTGAAGCATGATCTTACATATTCCATTGTTTCAAACTGGTAAACAACATTTGAATCGAAGGGTGAACGAAGTGGTGCTCTTGTATAGTCAAAATACTTCATCAGCCCAGGATCAAGATCGCCAATGATACTCACACTTTCTCCTGCAATTAAAACAAAAAAAAGCAAAAAAGAAGAAGATTGAGAAAATTCTTAATTCATAAAGGCGAAACATGTAAAGAAATCAAATGTTTTTGTCTTTGGAAGATCACCACCCCTCCCCCTCCTTCCCCCAAAACACCAGCTTCCTAGAAACCAGACTGTGTTATTTTGAACCTTGGCTATGAGCAGGCTTTTGCTATAGAGGTTGGAGATGGACATGCCAAAAGAGAAAGTGAGACTTAACCAGTAACTGGGTAGTTGGAAACTCAATGTCCATAAGACACGATGCCCACTGCCAAACCATGGCATTTAAAGAAAACCTATCCAGGCAATGCTGATCTTTCCAACTTCCAATGTCAAGTAAAAAGGAATTTCTGGGTATCATTACACGTATGAACCAAGTGAGGTGATCGGACAAAACTTGAAGTTGCCATGAGAAGGAAAAGAAACCATAGCCTCATATCATATCCCAACTTGTATTAACAGTGTCCATACTCAACATGATTGTTCAAATGCCAGATCCACATGTAAAACAATATTAAATAGTAAGCATGCAGAATCAGTCAAGTACAACTTTGAATTACTAGATATGATGTCAGTATATCATTTGAAATCGAACTTATTATTTGAGATCGAGCTTTTACAGTGGAGATTTTGTTATTAAAATGTTCACCACATTAGCCGCATTCCTTAACTTGGTGGTTTAATTTTTACCCTCTGCCAAATGGTAGCCTGTCTCCTCCACACACCACACACACACACACCCAACCCCCCCCGCCGAATCTGCATCAGATGTTCTCTTTCCGTAGAATGTAGAGCTAAAAATGGTTGGGACCTATGGTTTTGGTGGTTCTCTGGGACTAATTGGATGTGAAGCATAAAGTTGGCAGACTTCAACAAGTAAAACCATTAGGAGTGAATCTTAAAGAGATTAGGTCAGTATGGGAGTTTTGCATGACAAAGAGAGAGGGATGACTTAAGTAAGCTGAATAATTGCAAGAAGTAAATTTACATGCTTTGAATGTGGGAGATCGATTTAAACACGTAAAAGAGAAAGCAAACTCACTTCAAATTTTGTAATACATTTCTTAACAGAGAGTCAAAGAATGACAATATTAAAATTCAAAACATATCAAAAAACATAGGGCTCTATACATTTAAGTACTATTGTTTTCATATGTAAATCTGATATTAGTATGCAATTTGTTATACATAATTATACAAAATTATCATTGTGGTATAATAACAACTATGCAACTGTTATAAATTCATATTGAAAACATATCGAAAAACATAGGGCTCAATTCATGTAGGTATGGGCGCGGTTTGTATAGAGCCTTGGCTCTAAACAATCAAATTAGAGCCTACCTTCAAATAGTGTCGATCATGTGGTTTCAACACTGGAAATCTTTGTGATAGCCTTAAAATATATTTTCATCTTTATTTATAAAATTTAAGGCTTCAAAATAGTGTAGATCAACAGATCTATGAAAACTTCAAAATTTTGAAAATTGATGGTCCAAAAATGCATTACAAAATACACTATTTTCAAAACTTGAAATCCATTTTTTTCTCATGTCCATGCATCTTGATGTCGAGATGATCCATTTGAAGATATTTGGACATCAAAACAAACTCTTCTATTGAAATTTTTTAGCTAGGCTCTAATTTGATTGTTTAGAGCGTCGGCTCTATATAAACTTTTCTCTTTAGGTATTAATGTTTTCATATGCAAATATGATATTAGTATGCAATTTGTTATACATAATTATATAAAATTATCATTGTCGTGTAATGACAACTATGCAGCTGTTATATTATTATATAATTTATAATAAAATATATAATTATAATTATATTATTCATAATTATAGTTTAGTTTAACATTATAATTGGAATTCATATATCATATATTTATTGTCATTATAAAAATATTATATAACAATTATAGAAGATTGTAATAAAAATATCATTAGAATTTAATTATACCTATAATTATAGTATTATGAATAATATTTAATATTTAGTTGATTTGTAAGTGTGTTGACACGCACATGTGCTTGTCTTGTTATATAATTAAAATATATTTATAAGGATGAGGTTTCTATGAATCCGCCAACTAGTTTATGAGTGTGTGTTCCCCCTCTAAAGTCTATTTTAAAGATGAATATTGGATCCAAATTTTCACAAATCTATGATCTAGATCACGGTGATCTTGAATATGAAATATAAAATATAATTTTAAATTCAGAAATATTTTTTGAATTCTTTCGCACCATCAAATTCATATTTAGCTGGATGACTGTAAAAGGATGTGCAACCGTGACTTACAAAAGAAATTGCCTATTAATAATATTTATTTTAATTCTCTTGTGTTTCGTTCTCCCTTAGGATCTAGTTATTTACTAAGCACATATGTAGATTTTATCTAATCACATTTTTCTTCATCACCTTTTAAGAAACAAAAAGGGCAAAAAAAAAAGTGATGAAAAATTTTGCTCTATGAAATATCCCACTCTTTAAACGCATTTCAACTAGCATATGAAATGCTTTTATTATATTATTATATTAATATTATGACATTATAATGTTTTATCATTATTATAATAATACAATTATTATATTATAATATTCATATTTAATAACAATGACATTTTTATTGTTGTCGTTGCTGTTGTTAGTGTTATTATTCATTAGCTTTTTATATTTGAAATATTTATTATTGAAAGAGTGATCATTTAAATATTTACTTAGATAAATATTTATTATGAAATATCATCATTATTATTAATATTAATAACATAATGTCAAACCCCAAGTTTTTAACACTAAAATTCCTGAGATGTGACAGTTTATTCTTAACGAACAAAACAAATTCTAAATTTTTACTATATTGCTCCAAAACAACTTTTCCATTCACAAGCATTCAGACTTGTACAAAGTCCATTTCACAGCTTATAATAACATGAGGGTTTATATGAATATACAACTTTGATAGGCAAAAGCTACAAAGACGAATTTGATTACAAACTTCTTCCAAACCACTCTTGCAGCACATATGAACAATACGAGTGCGATTACGCTGAAAAAATTCACAATAGCTTGATGAGTTTTGCTACTCAGTAAGTGACCATCATTATCCTTACAAATCATGGTTCGAAAGTGTAAATATTTTCTAAAAGAATGTATATTAAGTAGAATTTCGACATATTGATTTTATGCATTCTAATACATGCTATTAGACAGATTCTTTTCCAATCTTAGTATCCTACACGTATCATGTATTCTTTATTAGACAAAGCAAATAAGCATGATATATAAACCATATGAACACGATTCATATAAAGACCAACGTTAAGTATCAGATATAATCAAACAAGCATTCACAACAACAGAAATCCTACAATAGAAACACTAACCTCGGGTCCGAGGTTAGAACTTCTACCAACGGGAAAATCCGTTGCGTAGTGCCTCACACACGCACACAACTCCAGCGCTCTTTGGGGCTTTTGATAGACACTGGCCTTACAAAACATGACCCTCTCATGTGCCCTTCTGGCGAGAGCGTTACACTACCAAAGGGTTCCCAATGAGTAGTGCCTCACACAGATTTTGGGGGAGCAACCACCCAAACACACACACTCCTAACTTTCATCCTATCATAGAGAGTTATGGAAAAATCACAGTTGCTAACACAAATATCTTATCAGATCACAACAGAGGCATGTCTCTATGCACTCATATCTTATCGAAAGCATGTTGTCATGTACACATATCTTATCAGAAGCATGTTACCATGCAAACATATCTTATCAAAAGCATTTTACCATGCACACATATCTCATCAGTAGCATGTTACCATGCACACATATCTTATCAGTAGCATGTTACCATTGACACATATCTCATCAGTAGCATATTGCCATGCACACACATCTTATCAGTAGCATGTTGCCATGCACACACATCTTATCAGAAGCATGTTACCATGCACACATGTCTTATCAGAAGCATGCTATCATTCACACATATTTTATTATCATGCACATAAATTCAAAAGACATTATTGTGTCAATTACATGCGATATATCAATGTAATAGATATCAAAAAACAATAATATCGTATTTTCAAAATATTCTTGAAATTATTAACATAAATTCTCATGAAGCAATTTATAGCAATCACTTGCACATAACACTTACACACAACACTTACACATAACACTTGCACATAACACTTGTAGACAACACTTACACAGAACACTTGCACATAAGAATTGCGCATAACACTTGCACATAACACTAGCGCATAAGAAATACCAATTTTCAAATAATTGTTTTACAAGACAATAAGATGACTTACTTTCATGATGCCAATATACTCACGGGATGATCATCCGTGAACCTTAAATAATACAAAGTGAGAGAGCTTATGAACTGAGAGAGAGTTGAATAATTGTAAACATCACCACTAAACTTGACATTACGAACTAAACAACGAGATAGCATCTCAGTGTCTTTCTTATTATTGATGGAGCAAATTCATGAGTAGAGTAGTTGGAAAGCTTAACATCAAAATAGTATAAGGGCTCTTAAAAGAAATTTGCAAAACATGGAGGTTGCTTCATCAGCTTCACCTATTCAAAATCATGAGATAGAATTTTCTATCACCTGCACTTAAGCATGAAGAGAGAGAAAGTTCTTTGGCTGTGCATATAGATGAAGAGAGAGAAAGGTCTTCACTAGCCATGTTGAAGGATGAAGAGGGAGAAAATTCTTTGATGGCTCTTCGTAAGAATGAAGAGAGAGAGAGAGCACATGCACATGCACATGCACATGCCACCCATCAAAGCTAAGCAACCATAAAACATATAAGAGAGAGAGAGACCAACACCCAACACCTCATGAGGAAGGTGTCAAATTTTAAGAAAATGAGGTTGCTTGGTTGCCACGCCACCTAATGAAAAACAAAAGAAAAAGATGGTGGACTTTATAAGAATGA